TTTAAAAAGATAGTATTTTATTAACTATATCTTATGACACTGAAACTCTTTTTAAAAAAAAAAAAAAAACCCGAAAGCTATCATCATAGTCAGAACTATTAAAATTTTTTAATCCATCATTAGTTAAAAAACGAGTGATTTGACATATTCAGGTAAAGCCACTGATGACTTTCTTGCTGTCCTGTGGTTAGAATCTGTCCCCGTCATGAGGTGCAGGCCACTGCACTGCTCCGCTCCAGGTCTGCAGCATCTCCATCAGTTCTGGTCTGGTAACTAGACACCTCCTTTAGGGGTCAAGAATGTCGACTCCAGTTCCAGGGGCTTCTGCGCATATTTTAGAAACTCATTGGCTGTTTATAATTTTTTGAAGTGGAATTTGGCACTCTACCTTGAACAGCCTGCTCAATCAAGGGGAAATGACTGTTGCCTACCAACCAGATGATTACTGGCTGCATCGACTACTCAGAACACTTTTGGAAGACCCAAAAAATGCAGAAAAGCAGAACTAAAGGATTTCAAGGATAGATTTTCTCCTTTATGTTCTGGTTTCTTGATGTGTAACAGATGCTGACATATCTTTGTTCAGTTAATGTTCCTTGTTTTGGAAGGAACAAAACGTGTAGGTTGTAGAGCTTTGTTCTGTCTCCCACTGTTGCTTCTGTTCACAGATACAACAGTTGACTGGCTGATGTCTGCGGATACCCTCAGGATCTGATGTTGACTTCAGAATAACAGACAAGCCCTTCTTTGGGCAGAAACTTTCCTTGCTCCACCAGTTCAAATGAGGCTTCTCTTTTGTTCTGTGCAACCACTGCTGCTTTCTCTGGGTTAATCACAGACAAGGCCCAACTGTCTGAGACGTATCAGCTGAGAGTTAAATGAGAGCCCAGACCTAAATCTCAAATAACGAGAGGAAGAAGGATGCCTCCTTATCATCCAGTGTCTTATCAAGTGCCTCTTGAGTCTTAGAATGGACTCACCAAGTCTTTATGGACTGGTACTACTGCACCATTTACAACACATGATATCAGGAAGCCTAAGATTGTGGGTGAACAGGAAGACGCACCCACAGTTTTTAAAAACCTATTGAGGTGATCACTGTCTCAGTGTCCTGGTTAGAACTTTAAGACTGGCCCCATAGGCAGCAGGTCTTGAATACAATGCACACATGTACACATATTGCATATTAGTAAGAAACTGCCCCATTATCTGCAGAAATGGTTCCATTAAAAAAAAATCTTTGCCTCTTAAAATGACTTATTTTGTTGGCAAAGTGTCTTAAAAAGATTCACTCCAACTCTATTATTGTCTGCTATTTTCATGTCCTGGAAATAATTACACCCTTTCACTTTAAACATTTCATATCAACACATCATTTTGCCAGGCCAGCTGGCCATCCTCTGAGTTTGGGCTCTCAGTGCTGGCAAGCTGGCTGACCGACAGCATACCTGCCCGTAGCCAGGCACACACAGCCCTTTTATGGAAGCACCAGTAAAGTCCTGTTAGAAGCAGATAATTCTGATTTTAAACAGAGTTACAGGTCAGGATTCTGAATGAGATTTTAGCAAGCTTTATTGTCAGGAATTTTGTGAAAATTACAGAGCATGGTATTTGTAAAACTCCTGCAATAGTGTCTAGTACACACTGAAATTGCAGCTACTTTTATCATTTGACATTGTCCATCCTTTGGTGTGCCATATGAAATTTAAGGTTTAGTCACACTGTTCTTAATCTCAACAAAGACATACCATTCTTTCTTTTAATTCTAGTAAGGTCTAGAGTGTCTGATTCTCTTTTCTCCTTTTCATTGTGACTTTCAGGAATGAGTGAAATTAGTGGCCGGGGGGCGGGGGGCGGGGGGGGGTCATGAATTACTGATTTGCTTTCAGATAAAACACCTGAATCCTAAGTACACAAAGTTCTGTTCAGAGATGTACAGAGTTCAGAGTCTATTTTTCCCATCGCTTACAAGTCATATTACCAGAGAAATTCTCCTTAATATCAAACACAAGATACAGTTCAAGCTGGTATGCTCTCCTTCAGGCCCAGCAGAGGTAAAGAGCTCCAAAATAATTCTGCCTTTATCTGAAAAGTTGTTTTATCTTTTCCACCTCTACTTCCTGGGGCGGAGGGTGGTAGGGGGAGGAGGGCGGAGGGACGAAAACAAACTCTTAACTCCCAGCCTAAGGACCTGGTTTTAAAATTTAAACTTCAGAATGTGATAGTTTTAGAATGCGATAGTTTTAGAATGCAATACAGTTTTAGTTTCCTAAAAGGTACCCACATATTTACTCAGATTCCTTTTGGCTTATACCAGCCTAAAAAACTCGTCATGTAATCTAATTCAAACAGTAGTAACTAAGTTAAACATTTCCAGTATATTCATTGATAACTCAAATATTTATCAAGTAACTACTCTGTTTGCTCCTCCTCTTTTACGTTTCAACAAGATAATTGTTTTGATATATTTTGTTCATAGTTTTGAGATATTTTTCCATATTAAGCCTCTATTGGGCTATACATAGCAAACAATTATAGGTAACTATTTCTCAGGATTCAGAAGATGCATTGTAAAATTTTGGATCAGTTCTGCCTAACATTAGCCATGTTAATTCTCTGATTCCCACAAACTGAAGTATTAGCTGTGGAAAAGATGCTTTAAGATGGATATATTATTTTCTAATAACTATTGTTGGTACAACAATAAATTCTTTTCTGACCAGTGACTTCTATTCATAGATGCAGTGCTGTGAAGTGATACACCCTTATCATTCATATTTCTGGGTGGTTGAGTAAGGGAGGAACTATCTTTGATATTTACTGAAGCAGTGGGGTTCCATGCACTTTCTGTCAGCAAAGGTATCAACTGCCAGAAAGCCCTGATAAGTCCCATTTCAAGCAAGCAGAGTCTGGATAATACCAAACTACCAGACAGCAGTTAGTGTGTGTGAACTGTCAGTCCTGCCAAACTGAATCACCACTCTCCCTCAAAATAAACACCCTGAAGTTAAACAAAGCTAAGTCACCCTCCTGGAAGGTATGTAGTGGGTTTAGCTAGTGAGAAAGACCAACCTTTGATTTGTCAGAGCCATCTTAAGCCACAGCCATTTTTTCAAGCCAGAGGTTAACAAGGTCAAAGGGAAACTTTAAAACATGACAGCGTTGTCTTGGAATTGAGGACATATGCTATCTGCTAAACAAACAGCAGGCTGACTGAATGTTAGGTGAGTGTCGCTCCACTCCAGAGCCGCCCAGGACACAGAATGAAGAAGGGCTCTCCTGTCCTGACCTGCACACTAACTCGCTGTCACCTGGAAAAGAAACCGAAAGTCTCTGGACCTCAGTTTTTCCGTGTGTAAATTAAGGAGACGGGTCAGAGAGTAGATGGAGGATCTTGGTTCAAATGAACTTCTTGAGGAAAAAAATGTCCTAAAATCGGTTTCATTAACAGTTTATGAACCTTTTCATTGCCTTCTTTTTTTAATGTACAAAGTGCCAAAATTGTTCAGGCACAGTAAAAATTAAGTAAGGAAGTGAATCTTTAATTAGCATGGCTAAATGAGAACCAAAGTCACAGAAGGGATTTTGTTAAAATAAAAAACTGGTTGTAACAGTTCAGCAACACTTCAGTTATTAGAATATCCTTAGTTTTAGGTGTGTTAGTCTTATCTCTTCAACTATTAGGTCGAATAATGAAATTGCATTTTTGCGGTTTAAAAAGTCAAGTATCATCAGTTGCGACCTATAGACGTGAGTGGGAGCAGAGTATAGAGCGTGTGCCCTCGTTCCCTTTAGCTCTTGCTACAATGCTGGGCACGTTTGTTCTTCGGTAGTGTGTACTGAAGTAGTGTTTGGGAGCGGAAAGTCTTTTTGAAATCACTTAGTTCAGTATGGTATTTTTTAATGAAAAAATAAGACCCCAAAAGTTCTCAGCATTGTCATTCTTTCAGTGTTTAGAATGACACTGAGACATTATGAATATTCCTTTATTGTGCTTTGAACATTCTACCTACCAGAAAGGGAACCAGTCTGATAAATTTTATAGGAATTGTTCTTAGCAGTTGAAGTTAGCAAAAGGCATTGTGCTTGGAGGGCGGGGGGGGATTCTTGTTGACAAAGATGTTAACATTTGGGGGTGAAAATATTTTAAAATGGCTAATGCTAACAAGAAAAACTTAATTCAAAGGAACATGGTAATAATAATACCTGAATATAAGCATGATCTGAATCGGAAGCATGATCCCCGACTGCATTACTTTATTCAATAAGCTTCCGTTCTCTGTAAGGAAACAGCTTCCACTTGTAGATTTAGTTACTGTTTATAGAAAGGTGTCATGGCTTAGCAAAATTAGAAATAGACTAAGTGCAGGGATATTTATAGGTCATGTTTTTGACTTAGATCTAACACACTCTGAAACCCTGCATTTTTTGTGTCACCTCTCTGCCATTTTAAGTATAGAATCATCACATTTTAGAGCATGTGGTTTAGTATTTGTCAATAACAGTTTACAGTGAAACCTACAAAATCCTCACATAATGCAGTACAACACCCTATCTTTATGAATGAGGAAACTGAGGCCAGATGGATTTTAGTAACTTTTTGTACATTGCAGTTAAGTCACAGAACAAGGTGGGACTTGGCTACACAGTGTATGTTGTCATTTGTTCTGTTAATTGCAAAACCTTCACTTCATAGTTATACCCTCCCAAAAATGGGGTGACAATTAAGGAAATAATGCTATGATATTGTTGCTTAGAATGAAGTAGACAGGAGACTTTTAATGATGGTGTTATGTTATATGAATATATTTAGAAGATGTGTCCAAATTTAATTGACTGTCGAGCAATTGATGTAAACCCCAGGACTAGTCTGTCACACCTTGACAAATCTGCCAGTTTTCTAAGCCCTTGGGAAACAGCATCAAGTAAACTTTGAAACAGAGGCCTATTGGATACATGGCCTAAGTCCTATGGTTTTGTGTTTTTGTTTTTCCTGATAGAAATATGAGTTCAGCTGGCCCCGACGGGAGGAAGGTGATGAGAAGCTGTGATGGACTCATTGACTCACTGGTCCATTATGTCCGAGGAACCATTGCAGATTACCAGCCAGATGACAAGGTAATGCAAGAGTTAAGTATTTTACGTAGTGAATTATTTTATCTTACTATGACTCTTCAGAGTGTTCTTGAAGTAGCTGTTTGGGTTTAGCTTTATTCATGAACTCATTTACTGAGCTTAAGATTTCCCCTACATGCTTAGGAATAATAAAATCTACTCAGTCCCATTTTTCTATTTTCCAGACCTAAATTTCCAACTATTTGTTTAACAACTCTATGTAGATATTTGAAAGGAGCCCAAATGTTACATGATCAGCAGTAAACTTAAATTCATCTCTTGCTTTGTCCCCAAATTTGCTCCTTCTCTTTGCAGTCTTTGTTAATGATTACCACCATCCACCAAATAAAAATAGAAATTTGAATAATCTCAAGCTACCTCCCCTCACATCACACATCTACTGAGCCACAAATCATGTCCATTCTACCTCTGAAATGCGCTTTGGTTTATCTACTCCTCTCTAGTGCTACCTCTGTGGTCCTAGTTTGTGCACCTTGCATACTGATTATTGCAATCGACTCCTGATTGGTCTCTACAGACAATGTCACTTCCTGTTTTCCAATTCCACGTGGCTACTAAGTTATGTACTTAAAATACAGAATCATTCTGAACACACTCTTTAAAAAGTAAACTAGAAAGCCTCTACAGTGTTTTAAGAAATTCAGCCTCTATGCCCTAGCTGGTGTGGCTTAGCAGATAGAGTGCCGGCCTGCGAACCAAAGGGTCACCGGTTCAATTCCCAGTCAGGGCACATGCCTGGGTTGCAGGCCAGGTACCCAGTTGGGAGCATGTGAGAGGCGACTGATCACTATCTCTCACGCATCCACATTTCTCTCCCTCTCTTTCTCCCTCCTTTCCCCTCTCTCTAAAACTAAATAAATAAATTTTTTAGAAAAATTCAGCCTCTACTCCTTAGCATTGTGCTCATGAGCATTTATGATCTAGCCTTAGCCTTCCTAGCCACGCTCATTCTGCTCCCCAGGCTCTCTGCAGTCTAAGCACCCAGTAAACCTTGTAATGAAGTCCTTTGATATCTCACTAGCAAAGGCAATCTCTATGGATATGATCGATATTCATGTCTTGTTTTCTCAGGCCACAGAAAACTGTGTGTGTATTCTCCATAACCTCTCCTACCAGCTGGAGGCAGAGCTCCCAGAGAAATATTCTCAGACTGTCTATATTCAAAACCGGAATATCCAGACTGACAACAACAAAAGTATTGGGTGTTTTGGCAATCGAAGCAGGAAAGTTAAAGAGGTATCTTGGGAGGGTTTTGAAAGAAAAAGTGTTCGTGTGTGCATATTTCTGAGTACTTAGTGTGCAGGAGTGGGCAAAAGTAGATCTACAGTTGTGAGTACATGAAGCTCAGGGTTTATTCTTGTGTTATTACTTATTGATTATTGTATTATTTTCTATGTAAACAACTGTTAACTGACTTTTGCCCACTCTGTGTGTCAGGCATCATTTTGAGTTATTTTAATCCCTACTTCAATGCCACAAGGTGTGTACTGGCAATATGTGTACCTCGGTTTCCCCTTGACTGAAGGGGAAACCGAGGTACAGTAAGGTTAATCATTGCATTATTTTCCCAGAATAATTCAGCAAATTAGTAGAGGGGATGGGATTGAATTCCAGGCAGTCTGGCTCCGAATTTGCATTGTTAGTCATTAAACCATACTGCTGTATTCCCTGTAGATTAGGAAACAGGCTTAATGCCACATGGTCAGTGGTACATACATTGCCTTAACCCTGATATTCACGTTTGGACATTCTAAAAACAAGTTTTGGACATCCTAAAGGCAAAACCCATAGGAAGGAATACTATCCATACTGGCATTTCATGAAAACTGAAAGAATGTGGCCTCGCCCACTCCTCAGAGTATCGTGGTCTTTGTGAACTTGGAGACGAACTGGTAAATTTAGAATCCTGATGCAGTCCCGGACCACTTCACTAAACTCTGAGGGAAGACGCCTGTTTTTCTTATCTTCAGAGTGTTTGTGCCTGATTTAGCCTGTAGTTGAACAGCAGCCTGAACACTGTTCTAGGACAGCCTGTGCTCTATTCTCTGAGTTCTTTCTCACTGTGAAATGCAAAGGTTGGGGTATGGGATGTTGCTAGGGAGAAATCGTCATCATGGGCTAAAAGTTATGCTGTTGGAGATCATACGTATTTGCCTTTTAATTTCTGTTTCAGGGGCTTCTTATTAAACAAATTATTAGTCTCTCTACACTAGACAGTGTTTCTAGTGTCTTGGTTTGGGTGTGGAACTGTAGAAATCACTTGGAGGCATTAATTCTGGATTTCGCCGTGTGTGTGTGTGTGTGGTTAGCAGTACCAGGACATGCCTCTGCCCGAGGAGAAGAGCAACCCCAGGGGCGTGGAGTGGCTGTGGCACTCCATCGTGGTACGGATGTACCTCTCCTTGATCGCCAAGAGCGTCCGCAGCTACACCCAGGAAGCATCTCTGGGAGCGCTCCAGAATCTCACGGCCGGAAATGGACCGGTGAGTGTCCAGCCTGTTTTTCTGCTTTTTAAAGTAATGACATTATAGACGTACCTATGTTTGGTTTAGACATGAGACAGTGAGTAAGAACAAATGTTTTCCCACTTCAGTTAAGAGAGTTCTCAGGAATTGCCAGACTTGCAGAGTCCCAGCCTCACCTTCTGTGAGGCCAAGTCACTGTGAGTGAGAGACTCCCAGATACTGATACGAGTCAGAGCTCTCTCAGAATCCTACCTAAACTGGCTTAGGTTAAAAAAAAAGAAAAGAAATTCCTTGGCTTATATAACTGAAAAGTCCAGGCGGGTCTCCTTTCGGTCATAGCGGGACGTAGGTGTCCCAGCAGTTGTAATCATGACTCTGGGTTCTGTTTTCCTCTCGTGGTTTCATTCTTAATGGGCCTCTTCGCGTTGTAGCAACAATAGCCACTCACAATTTCAGGCTTACATTTTATCCAGCCCAATGTTCCTACACGAAAGGAAATTACTTCTCCCGAGTTGTTCTGTTAAGAACTCAGAGAGTTAGTCATCCTTACCCATTTCTGAACCAGTACCTGTGGCTGAGCCTCCCAGAGCCTGAGAGGTTCTGATTGGCCGGCTGTGGGGAATGTGCCCACATGTGAATTTCAGAGGCATGGGTTCGATCAGGAGAGGGTCGCTGCCACTCCTACCGCTGAAGCAGACTGAAATGCTGAGGGAATAGTAGCACCTTCGTGAGAAAGCAGCAAATTATTACCAAAAGGAACAATGCGTGCTGGGCAGTCAAACATAACAGATGTCCACTGCAGGATGGAGTTGGAAGGGACACCTGTGCTTTTGTGTCCAAGAACTTCCAACTACGCAATCAAGAGCTGCTTCTCACTTACTTTATGTTAGCAAAATCAAAATGCAAAAAACATTTAAAGCTTAGTCCCTTCCCCATGTATTTTGCATCTTGCTACACATAGTTAGGGAATCTATAAATATTTAACTGCTTCAGCTAAACTTATATTCATTGCCTTAATCATAAAATGATTAGAATACATTCCCCCAAAACAGTTCATTGTATGGCCAGTGCCCAAGTATGCATCCCATAGGGAAAAGCACTCTTGTAGATAAGAAAAAATATTATTTATTCTTTATTTAAGAAACCATATTCATTCTTGAATGTGTTTACACAGAAGCTTGCTCTGTTTTGAATAATATTGTAAAGTACTAAAACCAACATTTATCTTTCACCATGGTTAAGAATACAAACTTTCAATGTTTGATTTTCTACAAAATGTACTTTTGCACAAACAGAAATGGGAAACTACCAAATAGACCTGAATGACGCAGGGACATTAATTTATCATCTTACCATCTCATTTTTCCATGCTCAGTTTCCCAAAACCATTTCTGTCACTTTCCCAAACCACAGAGGACCTCTTATTACCACCAATTTACAAGAAAATGTCAGAAATTAAATTGTGCTCTGTGTGTGTGTGTTTAAGCTTGTTGTGCGCTGAGTATGGCTCACCAGGAGCAAACCCTTTAAGCTTGGATTTTAGCCTCCCGCGTTCCAAGATCTCACATGGAATCCAAGCCATGGAGATATCTTCATAACTGCCCTAATCGATCTAATTCTGTCATGGCATTCAAAGTCATCCCTAACCTTAGAGCAGTCCAGTCCCCTGAAAGGAGGCCCGAGCTGCACCAGTATCCATCCATACTCAAGGTTGTAGAATTGAACTTGCCTGGAGATTTATAGGAGAAATCATTAGCAACATGGGACAATGTTATAAGGACCTTTTGTGCCTGTAAGTTGAGGTAACTTTTTTAAAAATTTGACTTCTATGAATATCTTTTCTAATTATTACTTTTCTTAATGGTGTTATACTTAGGTGGTGTGATAAAAAATATACTTGGTTTTATAGTTTCTACAAGGAATCATTGAATAGGAAAACATGAAAAGCAGGCCATTCACATAGTTCCAGAAACCATCTAGTCCATGAACACCCAGTCCACAAACCTTGTGTTTGCAACTGAGTGCCAAGCTGTAATGGCCATGGGCCTCAAATGGGAATGGCCCTAAACTGAAATGAATAGCTTCCTAAAAGATAACTTATAGAATTGAAGTATAAAATTGTGACATAATTTCTCGCCAGTAAAACTACATATAAACTTTATTAGTTCAAGACTGACAGCTGTTAGAGGGGAGAGAAGGGAGCAATGGTGGAAAGAAGGGGAAAGGACTAGACAAAGAACATGAATGAATGACCCACGGAATGGACAACGGTGTGGGGATTGACTGTGGGAGTGGGGAGTGGGCTGGGCGGAGGGGGGCCAAGAGGGGAAAATTGGGACAACTGTAATAGAATAAACAGTAAATAAATAAGTAAATAAACTTTATTAGTTCAGATATAGTGGTCATTCCAATAATAAATAAGGAAAGGGAATGGATCCATAAAATGTACCATTTAGCAAACTAACTGTAATATAAAGTATAAATTTATAAGTACAGCATTAATTATAGTATAAATTAAAAGTACAATACAATTTAAAAATTAAGGCAGAAGCTTTTGGTTATAAGACAAATTTAGGTCCCGGGGATCTAATGAACATCATGGTGACGACAGTTAACAGCACTGTACTGCGTACATGAAAGTTGCTAGGAGTGTAGGTCTTAAAAGTTTTCATCACAAGAAGGAAAATAAATTGTAACTGTGTGTGCTGATGGATGCTAACTAAGTTTATTGTGGTGATCATTTCATAATATATACATATATCAGATCATCACATTGTGTACTAAAGCAAATACAATGTTATATGTCAGCTGTATCTCAATAAAATAATTAAATCATTGACTAAACATCGCATTGTAAAGGTCATTGAAATAAACAGTTTTTAAGTTTTTAAAATATTTTAAAACCACTTAATTTGATATCTGTTGGAGAAAACACAACGTATCCCCTACCATATCACACCTTACCCAACAACCAGTTCCATTAGCATTTAAACGTGAAAGATAAAACAATGAAGCTTCTAAATGATAGCATGGAAAAATATCTTCATGACCTAGAATAGAGAAAAAGTTCTTAAAAATGGACACAAAAAAGCACTAACCATAAAGTAATTATTTTATAAATTGACTACATTAAAACTAATAACTTATGCTATTATGCTATCAAAAGACATGGTTAAGCTCTGGCTGGTATGGCTCAGTAGACTGAGCACCAGACTGCAAACCAAGGGGTCACTGGTTTGATTCCTAGTCAGGGCACATGCATGGGTTGTGGGCTGGGTCCCCAGTGGAGAGCATGCAAGAGGCAACCACACATTGATGTTTCTCTCCTTCTCTTTCCTCCTTCCTTCCCCTCTGTCTAAAAATTTTAAAAAAAATAAAAAGACCTGGTTAAAACAGTAAAAAGGCAAACCACAGAGCCCGAAAAGATTTTTGTAACATAGGTAAGCTAAAAACGGTGGTATTGAGAAAACATTAAAATTATCAAGTTAACAATAAAAAGATAGATAACGCAATAGGAAAATGGACAAGAGACATAGCAAGAGCCTCACAAAAGATAGTAAAGAACTGGCTATTAATCCTTTGAAGAGGGTTCAACCTTCTTAATAATCAGGACAATATGAACTAGAAGTGCCATTTGCAAACAATTTCACATATTCTCTAAGACTGAAATATAAAATCTGTGTTTGGTAAATCTGACTGTTTACTTTCCTTACTGAACAGATTCTAGAGACCATTCCACTCAGACTCTCCGTTCCCCTCAGTGAATCAGAATTAGTAAGACTCGGCTGTGCTTTTTCCTAGTTGAGAAAATGTCATTTGAGGATCCAGAGTTCACCTAGACTTTCCAATGATTATTTTTATATATTAACATCAAAGTTCTTTTTTATATATCATTAAATGGTATAGTATGTTATATGTATAAAGCAAGATTTTAACTTAAAAAACATCTTGCATTTTAAAAGAAAACACAAATTTTAAGAAATAATTATCTGTGACTTTTTAATGTGCCTTGATTCTCTGAGATGACAGTAAATCTTCAAGAAAACGTGAGAGCAGCACACAGTTCATTTAATAAACATTTGTGTAGGACCTGTTATGTTCTCAGCACCATGCAAGGCACTGTGGGGAGAAAAGATGGATAAGTTACATTTCCTCCTTTCAAGGAGTATTTGTTCTAATAGGACAGATACACAAGCTACTATAAGCTAAAGAATTAGGGAGTACTAGTAAGGAAAGAGAGGAAAGAAGATGCCAGGCTATGAAGGACTATACATGCCATACTAAAGCATTTCAACATCATTCTCAAGGCAATTGGGAGTTTTGCAGAGTTTAAACTTGAGGTGGAATATAATAAAATTAAATTTTAGAAGGATCCTTCTGGTGCAAGGCTTAGGAATCCCCACTGGTATCTAAGAAACAGCTAGCTGACCAGCAACATTTGGTTCCTAGTGGGGATTGGAGACCATACATTTGCAGAAGTAGCAACCTGCAAGTGTACTATTTAGCAATATTTGGTGACCAAGTATAAAATCAGTTTTTCAGTTTTAGTGGGTGGGTGGGCAAAGAGCTAGAATGATAAAAGAGGTAAGGGTTTGAGAAGATAGTATTTGATGTGATGGTTCATGTACCCTAATCTAGGTAAGAAAGAACTTAAGGCAGGAGAGAATTAATAGCATGAGGTGTGGGGCCTAAAGGTTGAGATAAAGGGGCAGGAGTTCTTGATGAGGCTGAGGAAGAATACATGGTAGGAGTGTTCGGGAGAGAGCAAAGAGAATAGGAAGTTGTGTTCAGAGTTTAACAGTGGAGTTTATGTTTTCTTTTTATTTTTTTAAGTATATTTTATTGATTATGCCTTTACAGTTGTCCCATTTTTTCTCCCCTTTATTTCCCTTCTCCCTGTACCCCAACTCCCACCAGCATTTCCTCCCCCCTTAGTTCATGTCCATGGGTTGTACTTATAAGTTCTTTGGCTTCTCCATTTCTCATACTATTCTTAACCTCCCCCTGTCTGTTTTCTACCTACCATTTATGCTTGTTATTCCCTGTACCTTTTCCCCTACTCTTCCCTCCCCCCCTCCCCACTGATAACCCTCCATGTGATCTCTATTTCTCTGATTCTGTTTCTGTTCTGATTGTTTGCTTAATTCGGTTTTGTTTCTGTTTTTAAGTTCAGTTGTTGATAGTTGCAGGTTTGTTGTCATTTTACTATTCATAGTTTTCATCTTCTTCTTTTTCTTAGATAAGTCCCTTTAACATTTCATATAATAAGGGCTTGGTGATGATGAACTCCTTTAACTCAACCTTATCTGGGAAGTTCTCTATCTGCCTTTCCATTCTAAATGATAGCTTTGCTGGATAGAGTAATTTTGGATGTAGGTCCTTACCTTTCATGACTTTGAATACTTCTTTCCAGCCCCTTCTTGCCTGCAAGGTTTCTTTTAAGAAATCAGCTGAGATTCCTATGGGAACTCCTTTGTAGGCAAATGTCTCTTTTTCTCTTGCTGCTTTTAAATTCTCTCCTTATCTGTAATCTTGGGTAATGTAATGATGATGTGCCTTGATGTGTGCTTCCTTGGGTCCAACTTCTTTGGGACTCTCTGAGCTTCCTGGAGTTCCTGGAAGTCTATTTCCTTTGCCAGATTGGGGAAGCTCTCCTTCATTATTTTTTCAAATAAGTTTTCGATTTGTTGCTCTTCCTCTTCTCCTTCAGGTACCCCTATGATTCTGATGTTGGAACTTTTAAAGTTGTTCTGGAGGTTCCTCTCCTCATTTTTTTGAATTGTTTCTTCATTCTTTTCTGGTTGAATGTTTACTTCTTCTTTTTGCTCCAAATCACTGATTTGAGTCCTGGTTTCCTTCGGTTCACTGTTGGTTCCCTTCAGTTCACTGTTGGTTCCCTGTATATTATCTTTATTTCACTTGGTATAGTCTTCACTTTTTTCTCTATTTTGCAACATACTCAACCATTTCTGTGAGCATCCTGATCACCAGTGTTTTGAACTGTACATCTGATAGGTTGGCTATCTCTTCATTTCTTAGTTATATTTTTTCTGGAGTTTTCATCTGTTCTTTCATTTGGGCCATATTTTTTTTGTCTCAGTGCACCTGTTATGTTGTAAGGGGCAGAGACTTAGTTATTCTCCAGGGCAGGACAACCCAGCTTGCTGCATTGTGGTGCTGTATGTGGGGGGAGGGGTCAGAGAAGAAACTATGCCTCTTGCTCACCTCTTGCCCACTTTCAGTCACTTCCTCCCCTTGATGTGGTCATCTATGACAGGTAGGCAGTGGAGAAGGCTCTAAAGCCCCAGTAGATATTGGGAAAGGACTGGCAGGTCTTGCGATGCCAAAGAAAATGCTATGGGGTGATAATAGTTGGATGGCAGTGAGTCAGAAGAGCAGAGTTTTGCATATGTGGGAAGACATAACTATCTGGACAAGCCATTGGGAAGAGAGAGAAAGGCTAAATCTACCCTGTGTCCAAGACATGGGTTGTACAGAATAAATAGCCTTCTCTCTAGATAGCCACAGGGGAAGGATCCTTCTCAGAGGAGAGCAAATAGTCTAATGGAATGTTTTGAAAATTAGTAAAAGACAAAGTATAACTTGTTTACAACAAAGCAAACATTCTAAAATAGTGGTTATTAAATTTTGTTAAGTCAAGGGGACTTTGAGTATCTGAATAAAATTATGGACGCTTTTCCTGAGAAAATTTAGCATGAAAAATGTAGTTTTAAGGACTGGTCCCCTCCCCGAAACCTACGTTGGACCCTATGTGAAGAGCCCCTGTTCTAAACAGTACACTGGGGCATATGAGACAGACAGTGATCTGTCAGTGGAAAGCAGTGTTTAAAGAAGATAAAGAGAAGATACACCCTAAAGAATGGTCATGAATTACAGAAATTTCTGGCATGAATGGCCTCAAATCTGCTTCAAATAGAAATCTGTGAAGTAACTGACACACAAGCACAGGCGTCAGCGTTGTTGGAGGTTCGTGGACAATGGAAAGAGTCCAGTCAGAACTCAGGTGCCCCAGAAGTAGGGACCAGCCCAGTTTCTAAAGAGAGTGGCCTCCAGTGGACATGCAGCCCATGACGCAGAGCGTGGAATTACACATCATCTAACCAGCAGTACATTTCTTTATTTAAAAGCCCAGTGTCTCTTCTGGAATAAACTGGCTTTTTAGAAATGAATAAGATTATTAAAATATGTAAAATGCCAAAACTTGAACAAGAAAAAAAGATGAATAAGCCAACAACCAATAAATACAGTGTAACTTTGATTCTAAAACATTGTCTTTATCATGTTCTTGCCATGGTGATAAACTAGAAATGTGAATAAAGGGCAAGCTGATCAATAGAAAAGAAAGAAAAGACAGGCCTGTTTTTTAATAAAAGATGCAAAAGACATAGGAGCTAACCAAGTCCAATATTGTATTTAAAAATACTGCATACACTGTTTTTATCTAGTGATTCCATTGAAAACCCTAATAAGAGTTTAAAAACAGTATCTTTAGACTGATTTTTGTCACAGCTCTAGTTTTTAAAACATCTTCCTCAATCTCGAGTAATCTACCGAAACTTACTCTGACCGTGAAGTCAATGCAATAGTACTGATGGAATGTGTTTACAAAACAGATGCCGATGTCTGTAGCCCAGGCAGTGGTCCAGAAGGAAAACGGCCTTCAGCACGCCCGGAAGATGCTGCATGTTGGTGATGCAAGTGTGAGAAAGACTGCAGTCTCCCTGCTGAGGAATTTGTCTCGGAATCTTTCCCTGCGCAATGAAATTGGTGAGTCAGTAAGTCTAGATGCAATGTGACCATATTGAAAATGCAAATGCAATAAAACATTCTCCTTCACACATTTTTTTGCAATGAAGGACTGAAAAGGTGAATAAAGAACAAAATGTGATAACTAGACCTGACTTTTGTGCACCCAGGCATTAAGGGTAAGCTTTCTCACTGAGTCTCCAATAGGATCTTCCTTCATATCCAGAATTTTTTTTTGTTTTAATTACTGCAGAAGGGAAATTTTACACCGTAGTAATAATTAACAAGATAAGTAATGTATTTGATAATTTTCAGCCCTCGGCAGCACCATCCAGAAAAGTCTTTTTAATCCATGTAGCTGTTTTCCAGAAGGTTCTCTCTGTGATCTGCATAAGCACCACTCTTCTGAAACATTAAAATAACACTCACACAGTGGTCACTTCAAAAACTTGGCCGTTGTTGGACTAGAAATGTATGGATGGATAGATAATCATAAAAAAAAGACCAAAAAAGTCACTGAAAATGTGGATTCAGCATAGATGGTTTATTTATATAAATACAAGGAAACATTTTTTCTCCTTTTTTTGAGAGTCTGTATTACTGACAAAGATAACTATGTTACACTATCACATAACAAGTTTTCATTTATTGGCTTTATATCTATAAATATCTAATAACTGTGAATCAAGTCAAAAACTATAAAATGGGAATAGGAAGATAATGTTAAAATGAATTATGCTTCCTAATGCTCCATAAATCAGTCACTTCACTAACATTACAAATAATATTTTGCTTTTTTTGTTTTTGAATGGACTGGATTATTCTGAAATTACACGTACACACAACATCAGAGATGTTGAAGTCTGGTTATATTTTAATCATGTCACTTCCAAAGACAGCCGGCAGCAGTACAACACTGGACAGGTGGTTTCACGCCCATTATAAGTATAGAGACAGCCTGGAAATTTGTCAGTGGATCTGAAAGAAACCTTGCCGTTGGCACTCTCAAAGCTATCCCCATTGTCTTCTCTGCACGTCTGTGCTCCACTTCACTCAGGGCTATTATCCTTTGAGACTTTTTTTCTTTTCCCAAATAAAATGTATGGGCTATTCATGTAGAATATTGATACTAATATTCTCTGGTTATTTACATGCTTCATGTATATTTTTTGTGATGCATAAAATTCTTTACAGATGTATTTTAATTAATCATTCTGTTATTGGGATATTTAGGCTTATAAATTTTTTATTTATATGTAATTCTATAATGAAGATCTCTGCATAAAGGTTTTTTTTCCATTTTTAAAGTGATGTCTTTAGGATGAATTCCCAGAAGTAGAATTTCTGAATCAAAGAATGTGAAAATTTTTCAAATTCTTGACATTTCTGTCACATTGCTTTCTGAAAAGATTTCCAATATACTGAGCACAAAATATCTTTTTAAAAATCCTGTTAAAACTTGAGTATTAGAGAGGTTAACATCATCCCATATGCTTGTTAACCAGTTGTGTTTCCTTTTTAAAATGTTCTTTACCCAAAACATTTTGGGATCTTTCATTTACAAAACAATCTTTTAAATCAGGCGTTCTTTTTCTTTCGTTTCATAGCCAAAGAAACTCTACCTGATTTGGTTTCCATAATTCCTGACACAGTTCCAACTACTGATGTTCTCATTGAAACTACAGCCTCTGCCTGTTACACATTGAACAACATAATCCAGACGAATTACCAGAATGCCCGGGATCTTCTGAACAGCGGGGGCCTGCACAAAATTATGGCCATCAGCGCAGACGATAGGTAAGGCCTTTAGCCTCTGGCCGCTGGCCACCTCTCCTTTCCCACCACGGCTCCCGCATGTACATCGGGTTGTGAGCCTTCAGTCACTGAGGACCACGGGCAGTATTCGGAGAGAGTCAGACTCCATACTGCAGCGTTTCATTGACCTAATGAATTAATTTGTTTCCCAGAACTGCTGCTGTGATTTAAGGACAGCAGAATAGACAGAGTGAGAGTCCCAGGGACAGCGAACACCCTTTTCCTCCCTGAAATCTGTGGAGCTAGTGTCAGACCAAGGGGCCGATGAGACTGATAACACAAGAAGTGAGAGGCAGGATAGTAAATTCTTGCGTTCTCAGTTTTCTCTATCACATCTCTTTCCACCTCTGGTTCACTTTTTGGAATAAAGGATCTAATAATGCATATACGTCATTCCACATCCCTGTTTCTGTCTATGAATTTTCCCCATTTAAAAAGGGAGGAAGAGAATGAAAAACTTTGTGTGACCAAATTATTACTATTACTTAATTTAGAGTGATAGGATCCAAAGGGGACACAAAGGTTATCTTTTTTATTTATATAATTCTGAATTGAGACCTCCCATATACACAGGAGAGACCCAATAACTCCGAGAAATGGCCCAACACTAAAGAAGATGTCAGGCGGAGGAGGGGAGGCCAGTTAGGGCGGTTACCAGGACAAGCACAGTGAACACGGGTTCTGCAGATTGAAGTCCTTGCCTTCTCTGTTGATAAAAGTTTCTAAAGATTTAGTCATCCTTCACCTACTGCTACACTCCCTACACATGGAGATTTCTCTTACAAACGGATAACTTCTGCTCAGTTCTCAGAGATTTTCCATTGTCTGCTCTTTCTTAAAAATAATCAACCTAAAATAATCCCTGTGCCACATCTGACCACTGTGACTTGGTTGGTTGGGCGTCATCCCACAAAGCAAAAGGTCACTGTTCTGATTCCCAGTCAGGGCACGTGCTGGAGGCAACCAGTCTCTGTTTGTCTCTCTCATCGTTGTTTCTCTCCCACCCTTTCTCCCTTCCCCGCCCTCTAAAATCTTTAAATAAATAAATAAATAAATAAATAAATAAATAAATAAGTAAAATCTTTATACCAGAGAGGCATATTTTGGGGTGGTATATTCTGTTCCCCTTCACTTGCTGTTTAAAAACTTTTTCCAGTTTTAAATATTAGACAACCATAGCTTTTCTAGATTAAATAGTCTCTTGGTTATGAGCAAGCTACTCTGAGAAGTCCATGAAGTAACTAAAAAAATCTGTCGGGCGCTGAGTCGTCTCATCCTGTCTGCCAGGTTGGTGTGGAAAAGAAAGACTTATAGCTGATGCCTGAGCGCAGCCAGCATGCACTTCTTCATACAGCTTTGCATCCTCTGCTCTTGGCTGCATGTTTACAAACTCCTGTGAGGAGAAACAAAAGATACATTTCTGTGTTAAAAGAAAAAATTTCAGCCATGTGCTAGTTCAGGTGACAGAAGAGAAGGAGATCAAAGAAAGCATTTTCTCCTCAGCCATAAACAGAAAATTTAGGACAAATTTAAAAGCAGAACATCAAAAACTAAATACAATGTCAAATTTAATGGTAACTAGGATTTAAAACAGAAGCACATTTTACATTTGCTTTATATAAAAGCAAAGACATTTTGAAAGTATAATAATTTAATTAGATGCTCCAGCAAGAATTTTATTAACTTGAAAAAATTTCTTTACTCTTACCTTTATAGAGTTACTCAGTCTCAGAGAGGGATGTATATTTTCAGTCATTCTTTCCTGTATATATACCCACACATTATAAACATACAAATATATTTATATTCTATACATGACAATATAAATATACAAATATAAGTTGTATTCTGCGAATAAATTCAAGGATTTGTAACATGTCTAGGGATATATTCCTTATAAATACCTAAAATTTGCTGTATAAACTATTTGTTAGCACTGTGTTAGTGGTTTTAAAAGAAGTTTTTATCCTCCCCTGAGGATGTTCTTTCAGTGCTTTTAGAGACAGAGGAAGGGAGACAGAGAAACATTGACTGCCTCCCATGCACACACAGAGCAGGGCTTGTACGTGCCCAGACCAGGGACCGAACCTGCAACCTTTGGGTTATGGGACAATTCTCCAGCCAACTGAGCCACACTGGCCAGGACTAAAAGATTTTTAAAAAATAATTTTGAAAAAGTGGTCCCCAGCTTCTGAATCTTACCATGTAATTCTCCTATCATTGTGAGTAGCCCGACTTAGCTGATGGCTACTGTGCAACAGCAATTAAAGAAGGTTCACAGAATGACCAGAGACCGCCTCCAGAGCCTCACACATTCTCACTGATCTCGGAACGCCCTTTTCTTCTTTCAGCTATGGCTCCAACAAAGCAAGTAAAGCGGCTTCTGTTCTCTTATATTCTCTGTGGACGCACACGGAGCTCCATAATGCCTACAAGAAGGTAAGAGCGCTAAAAAGGCATGAGGGGAAGGGGGTAGAAAGGGACTAAATGGTAATGGAAAGACAAAATACAATAAAAATTAAATTTAAAAAATATTTTTAAAAGATTTAAAAAATATAAAAGCCTGTGTCATAGTTAACAGAATCAGATCCTGATGGCCTGCTTCACTCACCCTGGTGAGAAATCACTAACAACTGCATTTTTGTGTTGAAAATGTTGTTACCGTTCACATTTTTGTTTGCTTATTCTGAAGGCTCAGTTTAAGAAGACAGATTTCGTCAACAGCCGGACTTCCAAAGCCTACCACTCCGTTAAAGACTGAGGCAAGTGAAGCAGTGCTCTCAGAAATACCAACCTTACCATTCATTCTCAGCCGCAAAAAACCCCAAAGGAAAACACCTATTTTTCTACTTCCCAGTTCAAGAAACCTCAAGAACAGTATGTCCTGTTTTTATCCTTTTCTATTCCCATGGTCCCCCGAATCCAGACAACAAATAATCAGAATATGATTTTGGAAGCTTCCAGAAGATTTTCACAAGTGTGCCACCAGAAGATCCTGGCAGCAGGCTGTCTACTGCCCACACACAGTGGTCTTTGTGATCCGGGCTCGCAGTGCACGGCCTCCTGGAACCGAAATGGGACTTCCTGTGGAATGGACATTAACAGACTAAATAAGGAAAGAAGCTATTATAATATTACAGTTTTTTAAAAGTTTAATATACATTTGTATTTTCTGGTTCCTGTGTTTTGTCCCTCATACGCACATTGCATCACCGCTGAGGTGTGAGCATATGGTTCTGCAGTGTTGAAACAGAATGGAAATGAGACATATTGCCTAAGTTACCCAGGAGCAAATTTAATGACGAAACTGTTTGTTTGGATTTTTTACTTTGTGCTTGTTTTTATCCTCTTGAAATTTTTCTCTAATTTTAAATGAACTTATGTTTAGATCACAGAACATGCCTGAGTGTAAGAAAAGGAATTGAAAGGTAGCAATAGTAACAGATTTAAATTCTTCCCACAAAGAAGGCAACAATGGCTATGAAATGTAATGTTTCCCCTAACTACTGAGTTAATGATGTTTTTGCCCAAGGAAATACTTTACCTATACTAACAGCATTAAATGCAAATCTCTTCAGAACAGTGGCATTCAGTGTCATTTGATTCCTGGGTCTTTTCAGCCACGCAGTGGGCTGCTGAAAGAACAGACTCTATATTTAGCTACCAATGGAACCAGGGCCTCTCACACAGCTGGGCCAGCCCGGGGCTCCCAAAGCACCCTGCGTTTTAGTGAGTTACGTTATCAGCCGGCCCAACTTTGCCTCACATTTAAAAAATAGCACAGAGCCACAGTCTCATGTGACTTTTGTCCAGCTATTATTTTAAGCCCAGAAAACTCTACAGAAGAAACACGAAGAAGTCGCTTTGAGAAGAAATGTGTCTCAGCCACCCAGAAGAAATAGGAGACGTACTAATGTTACTCCTCTCAACTACAGTTCTGTTATACTTTGCTTCTTTAAAAAAAAATTGACAATGTTTGTTAAAAGAAAATACAATAAGAAGGAAAAAATTCTTCATTTTGGCAGAAAAGTGTAGTAGAAAATAAACTTCCATTTCCAATTTGAATGTAAGTCTTTATTATACATTTAGAACTTGAATTTTTTTTCAATTTTAGCTGCTCAATGAAGAAGACTGAAGTCACTAACCTAGTTTAAATTGAACTTATTTAGATACCAATTTTTAAAATACTAAAGAGAGAAATTCTCCTTTTCCAGAATTTTGACAAGAAGCATTTGGAATATCTTTCTTCCTCCAGATAATTGATATATGTTTAAGAAGTTACTGTATTTTTCAAGGCACTAGTGGAGGCGTCAATAAAGTTCAATATAAAATGAGGCAAAAATAATGCCTGCATTGGTGTCTGTATCTAATTTGTGTATCTTCGTGTATATGGTTTGATTGACATGACATTTGAGGATTTGACCTTAAAAACTGTAACTTTAATTGCTGAGAGTTTAATACTTTCTGTTTATATTTCTCCCCTAATTAAAGTCCTAAATTCTTTACCTAGAAACAGTTCCTATAAGAAAGGTGGAAATAGCTAGTGACTAAAACGTGTAGTAGTGGAAGGACATACAAATTAGTTAGCTATTGTTAGATTTTAGATTTTAGTAAATGGAGTGAGTCTGTGACCACAGAAGACAGACCGTGTTTGATCCCCATGTTTTGTTTTGTTTTGTTGCCCTGTTTACAAAAACCTCACCACTTTCCTGTCTTTGAACATTTCTGAGGGAGGTCCTTGTGTGACTGATGGTCAGTTTTGGTCACAGGACACACACAAAATTCTCCTGTTTCCCATGTGACCCAGACCACGCCCACATCATCCAAGGAACTGGAAGCGGAGCTGGGCCTTTGCATATATCTGTGCTAAGAGTTCCACAGGGCTGCTGCCTTATCAGGAATCCTTAGTGTTCTTCTGGAATACCTGATATTGCTGCCCTGGATTTCTGTAACTGGAAATATTTGTTTATACCTGATGGAAACAACTAAAGGATTAGCTGACAAAATAGAGAGGGAATTAATTAACATGTCAAATTGGAAAATCAGCAGCTCGAGTAGATAAGCCACTTTAAAGCCAATGCAGTCACACTCTGAAGATGCAATCCCTGAGAAGAAAAGGGAAATGGGAAATATATGTTTATTTTATGTGCACTGCAGTTACAAATGAAATTTCCTTTAAATAACATATGTAATGAACTTACTGCATTGGAATGAGGAGGACTTCAGTATATGTTTACTTTGAGCAAAATTGCAGAAGCCTCAAGTCACAGAATCTGAGGATTAAGAAGGAATTTAGAGGTCATCTGGTTAAATCCGCCTTAGAGTATCTTCTTGCATCAGAGGATTCAGTTCTTATTAAAGTGACAGAGAAGAAAAATATGCAATCATTCATTCAACTAATGCCCAACACAACCCTGGAACTGACCTATCTTAAGGCTCAGTAACTGTTGCATTAACACATTCATTCTGGGAAGGAAAACATAAAGAAGGAAGCAAACTTTTCAAAATAAAATTCTGTTTTAGGTTTAACATTTTAGTTTATACTGATACTGACCATTTCATCTCTTATGAAATTCATCTTTTTAAAGACCATAAGATGAAATGCTCTCTCTTTTTATGATTTATTCAAAGCTCTCAAAATGCCCCTCATTGGCCTAAGAGCTGTTGAAAACATGAGCAGAAGGGAGAGCATCCTGAAAGCCCTAGTTTGGGAGACACAGAGAATCGGGCGATGTTTAGCCTGAAGAACGGTGCTGTGTTACCTGCCTTTAAAGGTTGAGAGTAGAGGGCAGACCAGGGTCAGCAGGCAGAGACTTGTAAGACTAGCTCAACAATAGTGGACATAATGGGTATGGCTGACAGCATCCTCATGAGGTATGTATATATATTTTTTATATTTTACATGTGAAATAACCTCAACAGGTGGAGGTTAAGTCACATTCCAAAGTCTTATAGCCAGAAAGTGCAGAGGGGCTATATGAAGAGGCGTGGGGGGTGACAAGGTTCTGTGGGAACCAGGAATGACAGCCTTGTGTCTCCATACTGGGGAAATGTGGGATCTCTTTGGCTTGTCTCCCTTTGGAGAGTTCGGAGGACAGTCTGAAACTGTTGAAGAGGACCGATTCTAGAAGCAGCCACCCCAGCTCAAATTGTGACTTCTCTGCTTACTGGCTAGGCTAAGTTTCCCACCCTCTCTGAGCCACAGCTGTCTTTATCTGTTACATGTGAATGAAAGCAGCTGTTACCTCATTGGGTTGTTTGGAGGATTAACTTTTTATAATTATAAAGCACTTAAAACAGTACCTGACAGTATGTCCTCAATAAATGTGAACTAAATATTGTGGAGTTCCCCGGTTGGGGGGAGGGGTGTGTTTGCTTTTATTTTTTGGTCCATCTTTTTTGAATTTTGCTTTTCATTTGGTTCAGTTAAAAGCCCCAACTTTCCCCTCACCTACCCATCTTACACATACACTTGACCCGTGCCTCAGAAGGCCAGGCAGAAATGAGAAAAACAGATACGGCCCAGAGAAGTGATTTTGAATGTCTACCTCAGAACATAAGTCCTTTATGTGAAAAGAAATACCCCATACTTAAATTTGAGAAGGGCCAAGTTACACAAAGATTGAAAAGATCTTGATTGCTAGATTCCTCAGGGTCCCTAATAGGAAGTATACATTGTGAAGTCTCCAGGAAAGGATAGAGCAGAATGCTGCATGTCACACACCTTTTACAGCCACAAACAAGAGGACACAATCTGTTTACCTGGTTCAGTCTACTCCAGTTCATTTAGCTATAGCCAGAGTTAGTCATGAAGAGTCTTAGGAAAATCAGAACATCAGTGATTCCAATGGATTGAGGACTAGCTCCTGAATGTTCCGCTCCGTCCCCACCTGGAGTGTTGCTAATCTGCAGACAGGACGGTGACTGAAAGGTAATCATTAGCCCAGAGAAGCAGGTTGAGGCAGCAGCAGACATCCTTGCATCCGGCTGATCAGACCTCATAAATCTCAACATCAAGACGCAGTTAAATCTCTAAGAAGCCTGGTTTTCACCTGTATGCTGCTAACACACAATGCATCTGGCAAGGGATGAGAAACAAGTTCAAACTGTTGCAGATTTTCTCACAGCTATAATAGGATCTTCTTCCCAGAAACGACTAATCCCTTGGGTGTTTGTTTTAAGAAGAGGAGGGGGAGGGGTTCCATTTTTAATTATACCTTTCACCATACCTGTATGGAAAACTTTATGCTGGAGCTAAAAGTCAGTGAGAGGCGCCGTTATGAGTAATTGCTCGCAGATCTTAGTGAAACTGGCTTCATTGTGACAGACTCACAGTTTACCGAAAACTTTGCTTCACCTGGGAAATGAAGTCATCAACTTTACAGTGAAGGTTAAGGAGCTCCAGACACATAAGGATCTTCTGGAGTATGTCACTCCCCTGAAACAACAAATAGGGTTAGAAGCACAGAATCAAGAAGATAATCTTCATTTTTAGCCAGGAGTTGTCAGAATTGATAACTGTGCATGAAAATTCTAACATTTAGAACGCTGATCAAAAAATTTTTCTCAGGAATGTGTTTCTTTTACCCCTTGCTCTAATTGGATTTTTTTTCTCAGTTCCTAATTTAAAAAAAAAAAAAGTAATCTGTTCTGTGCTATTGCAGAAGTAGCATTTTATAAGAATCAATATGTATGAACATATTAAGTAGCATGCCATTTCATGTTCTCTATCTCCTGCTTAAGCTTATCACATAGGATGCTTTATTTGCTTTTGAATATCAAAAAAAGTTCAACTCAAAGTGGTTTAAGAAATAAATGCTTTTATTGTAACGAAGACATGAAGGTCTTCTTGTAACAGGAAGACCAGGTCTAGGCACAGGCTTTAGTATTGCATCAACTCAGTCAAGTCGTCTAGAGCCCAGATTCCTTCCCAGTTTCTGCTCCGCCATTCTTGACCTGCTGCCTTCTGGGTCCTGGTTGATTTTTTTCACGCTGACAAAATGGTAGCAGCAGCTCCAAATGTCCCATCTTTATGGAGCCACTTCCACAGGCCAGAGAATAACGTTCTTTCCTGCATCTGTTTTATAGTAAGTAAAGAACTCTTTCCCAGAAGCCTCCATCTGACATCTCTCATTTTAGATTGCCTGGAATGACATCACTCGTCCACCCCTAAAGTCCGCTCCTAGTGTGAAAAGTGAAACCAGTGTGTCTTAAAACCAGTCACAATGCACAGAGGGTCGGGCCTGCCTCCCGAGCATCGAGCCTCGTTGAGGGTGAATACGCACAGTCAGGGTTTTACTGAGCGAGGAAAAGGGGCTGCGGGGTAGCCACCCAACCTTGCACGCCCTGTGTATGGACGCTCAGAGAAGGAAGAATTCAACATTTTTAGCAAACCGATTTCCTCTGGCCTGGAAGATAACAGTGTTCTCTCACAGGGTGGAGGTGGAAGGAGCCGCTGTTCTGCCACTGTGGCGCCCAGGCAGAGCCCGCGGAAGTGTGCGGGCCGAGAGCGATGGGAGGGCAGGGAGCTGCAGCTGCAGCGGTACTTGTGATTCCGAGGAGAGCACTAATAAAAGGCGGTATAAAGCTGGTATACTTAACTGAACAATAAGGATGGAATAAAATCATTTCAGAAGCCCCTGTACCTTTTTCATTCTCTCCTTGATATCTGCCACTTTTCACCTTTAACTACTAGTTATGGAATCCAGGTTACACCTTCATTGACCAAAATGTCTTGGAAGAAAGTTGACCTGAGCCTCAGGTCAACCTTCCCTCTCCTCGATGAGACATCAATGTAGCTGAGTGGGCAGAACCTGGGTTTGGATTCTGACTTTTTCTTTTTTCAGGAATCAGTCCTCACAGTTTTAAGGGCTAGGAAGAAAGGTGCCCTCTTTCTTTAAAAAATAATGTAAGACATTTTTCAGTTGACATACACTGTTCTGTTAGTTTCAGATATACAACAGTGATTACATATACAGTTTAAGAAGTGATCACCTCAGTACGTCCAGCACCCATCTGACACTGTACACAGTGGTTACAATATGAATGACTGTGTTCTCTATGCTGTACTTTACATCCGGTGACTATTTTGTAACTACAAATTTGTACTTCTTAATCCCTTCATATTTTTCACCCTGTCCTCCAACTCCCTCTGACCTGGCAACCATCTGTTTGTTCTCTGTACCTGTGAGTTTTGTTTCTGTTTTGTTTGTTCATTTATGTTGTTTTTTAGATTCCATATATAAGTGAAATCACATAGTATTTGTCTTTCTCTGACTTAATTTATTTAGATAATACTTTCTAGGTCCATCCATGTTGTCACAAACAGCAAGATTTCATTCT